GGGGAGGAAAAAAAGCCTGATTGGGCAAGTCAGGATGGCCGAGCGGTCTAAGGCGCTGCGTTCAGGTCGCAGTCTCCCCTGGAGGCGTGGGTTCGAATCCCACTTCTGACAAGGCTTCTCTTTTGAAAGATCACCGTGGATTTTATATTTTTCTAAAATAGTTTTATCGAGCATAGAAACTCCCTTGGAACTTCTCCGTGAAAAGGAGCTGCATGCGATGGAAGAATAAAAAAAAAGAAAACACATATATACACACACTCGTGTTTGTGCACGAGTGTGTTCCCGGGAGAAAGAGGGTTAAAGATTAATAAATTATTAATAAATTAATTGATCCAGTGTCTCTCCCGAAATCACTTCATTTGCAATATATATATTGCACCCTCCATTTGCAAGATAGATAGATAGATAGATAGATAGATAGATAGATAGATAGATAGATAGATAGATAGATAGATAGATAGATAGATAGATAGATAGATAGATAGATAGATAGATATTTTACATATACTGTATATGTTTTTTCAGTGTAAAATGACAATATTATATATATTGCAAACGGAGGGTGTGGAGAAGTGATCTCGGGAGATGTTTTTTCAGTATAAAGTGACACAAAACTGAATCCAGCTCCTGGACTTTGGAAAGCCTCTTGGAGGAAGGAATGGTTCAGTCTATATATGTTTGTGCACGAGTGTGTTCCAGGGAGAAAGAGGGTTAAAGATTAATGAATTATTTTAATAAATTAACTGGTCAATTTTGTTATACTGTACGCTGCTTTTCTGATAAGCCATGCATACTGAAAGCAAATACACATGTTTAAAGGCAAGATTAATATTTGCAAAACCACTTATCACATCATCCTCATCTTAGAACTGCAGAGCTGCAAGGGACCCTCTGGATCATCTGGGTATAGTCCTTGTAAAGGGATCACAATGGGGAATCGAACTCCCAACTCAGACACCTAAACCACCAAGTTATCCAGAAGTTCATGTTGGCTAAGGCTCATGAGACCTGTAGTCCATCAAATGTCTCAGAGGCTCCATTCTCCCATCTCCTGCCTGAAACTGTAACAAACAACCAAAAGAGATTTGAGTCGAAGAAGCTTTATGTGGTCTGCGGTCCCCCTTATTAGGTGCATGGTGCATTCATGGAAGCTTGTAGCAACTTAAAATAAAACCTGAAGTCAACCTGATTCCCAGAATATTTTGGTGGAAATCTCATGTCACGGCACGAGGCGTGGGTCTCATTTCATCTTGTGGTTAGATCACATTCTTAGGGAATTCAAACTGGACCCACCCGTGTACTCTATCCTCGTGGATGCCGCGTCCTTTGGCTTCCAGCCTGGCCATCAGGAACCAGTAAGGACCCACTTGATGGTTCAACTGCACTTTTATGTACCCCTTCTAACTCGGCAGGGTGATTGGGAGGCCTTCTGCACGGCCAGAATGGACGCTGGACATACTGCAGCCTTGACACACGGTCTCCTGAAACACACATTGACCCCATGAATCTGTGGGTGGCCACGGTTCTAGTTTTGCTGGCCTGCTCATTTGTGGCATCCTCAGCCTAACAGGCCATCCAGCCCCGAGCGATGCCAGCTATGTACAGTTCAGGGCAATATCTCGATGTCCTCTGGGTGGCCTAATGACCAACTCATGTGACTCCTTCTTGGAAGCATGTCAGAGAAGTCACTTCGTCTTAGTGTTTACGCCTTTGCAGGAACCCTTGGAGAACTTTCTCGAGAGCGTTTTTGGTTAATGGCTGGAAGCCTTCTCATGGGGAGCCAACAATGTTAACATCAAGATGACTAAAAGGGAAAGAACGTCCTCAAAGACAGCTTGCATAGCCTGCCTTTGGATGCCATCTGGTGGTTTCCATTCCCAGATTTCTCTCATCCACAGTCCTCCTAAGATGCTAGCCTGGGAATGTCCGTCATGGGATCCTAGAATCCTAGAATCATGGACTAGGAAGGAGCCTATCTGGCCACCAAGTCCAACCTCCTGCTCAAATCAGGAATCCAAGTCAAAGCAGATCTGGCAGGCGTTGGTCCAATTTCCTCTTGAATGCTTTGACCTCCCCACCTCCTTGGGGTATGGACTAGGAAAGGAGCCTATCTGGCCACCAAGCCCAACCTCCTGCTCAAGTCAGGAATCCGAGTCAAAGCAGATCTGGCAGGCATTCGTCCAATTTCCTCTTGAATGCTTTGACCTCCCCACCTCCTGGGGTCATGGGCTCCATTTGTTGTACTGCTCGAACAGGAAGTTTTTCCTGATATTCAGCCGAAATCTGGCTTCCTGTAACTTAAACCCAGCACTGAATGTCCTGCCCCTCCTTGGCCTGAATAAGCTTCCAAGTCTTTGAAAAGTGCATGTCTCCCCTTAGTCTTCTTTTCTCAAGGCTGCGTGGTGTCCGGTTGCTTTAAAAGTGTGGTTGTTAAAGGCCACTCCTTCTTCTCCACTGCTTTTGGTTCATATTGCATGATCCTGTGCCATGAACATGCAAAGAGAGTAATACCGTACCTCAGTTCAGCAACGCTTCCTCCCCATTAAATGTATGTCCCAAAGACCGTAGGTAGCCGCAGTGTTGGGCCTTGGCCAAAGCCATAAAGACCAGTCTTCACACCCTTGTCTGATAGCTCAGTGGGTTAGGTCTCTGCCAAAGGTCGGGAGTTTGATTCCCCACTCCTGCGCCTCCTCGGCAAAGGTCTGGACTGGATGATCCACAGGGCCCCTTCTTGCTCTGCAGTTCTAAGGTGCTGTTGATGATGATCATTCTGTTAACAATCTAAAACTTGCCAACTCCATCTGGTATTTGAGGGAGAACATCCCACAAGAGATTTTTCTCCACTTCTAGCAGTAAAATTATAAGGACAAAATAGCCTGGAGGTTGGGCCCCTTAGAGACAGGAGGGCTCCCAGTCAGTGGGAAAACAGATCAAGGAAGGTAGAGAAGACTCAGAAGTGGTTTCCCATCTCCTTCCTCTAGGGGCGCCCTGGGACGGTGCAGCTTGCCCAAGGCTAGCCAGGCTGGCTCTTCTCCTAGGGGGGCGGAGGGGGGGCGATCCTGGCTCTGCAACCAGCTATGTATCTAACTCCCCGACCTATCCAGCCAGCTTGCATCACCTTTGCAGCGGGACCCCTGCATCCCTGGCGGCGCTTTCATCAGTTGCCATCCACAGATGCAGGGAGTTAAAGCACAAGGTTGATGTACAGACCCGCGGTTTGCCACTAAACCGGTGCCTCCGTGGCTCGGAGGAAGTGGCTCTGGAGCCAGGAAAGCTCGCAGCGAAATCAAACCCGCTGGGCTTGCAGATGGCCCGATCCTTCGGTTGTTGTGCCTCCGTTGTTTGCTACAGAAGCCAAGGGGACCGGCCTTTTCCTCGCCTCTCCATCTGCGCGTCTAAAGCTTAGACGCTCCGCGGGAAAGGGTTAAGCGGGATGCTCGGAGAGGGTTGGGCCGGCCCTCGGCGCTCCTGTGGGGGCTTGGGCGCTCGCCGTGGCCCTGC